CGATGCTCGGAGCGACAAGGAATCGTAGGGAGGAACTTCGTGGCGAAAAATCGTATCACGTAGCGGCGTGACAAAACTGTGTTCCGTCCCTTTGCGATAGTTGGATATAAAATCGCGCGCGCGTGCGCAGATCGAAAACTAGCGCCAGCAAGTGCGGGACACACCGACCGTCGTGCCGTCGCGTTGCTTTCATTTTTATTGATAACGGTTTTGCGACGAGAACAAAAGGAGAAAAAACGGTATCTGCTCTCTCGTTTCCAGCTTACCGCGGACGCGGGCAGCACGTGCGATCGAACATGGCGGTTTTTCTCAGTTTTGACGCTACCGACAAACGTCGACTGCGACGTGATTTTTGACTCGCCGCGGCGCTTCGCGGGAGTTTACTCGATCCACGAAACGACATGCACAACCCGCCGCGCCGGACGAACTCTATCGTGATCCGACTTGTAGAGTCATGCTACACCCAGGAAAACGGTACATCACATCAGTCATAGATAAATATCGGCGTGGAATTTGTTACTGGGGAACTGCTTTTACACCGCCAAACGGCGGGGCCAAACACGCTGTTGTTCTCATCGTGTTTAGATCCGTACGGCCGTAAAAGCGTGCACAGAGGTGTCGTTTGCGGCTCGCGCGTCCGGATTAATGTAGCCAAATAAAGTCCACTCGCGTTCTTCGAAATCTCTCTAGAGTGCTCAGCCCGGTCTTGATGCGCGGGCGCATGGCAGGGTCAGTCGCGTATAGAAATTAATCTTATGTGGAGAACACGTTTGACGAATCGTCCAAATGGTCGATCAAGTTTACAAGTCGTCGGTACAGGTGAGAGCGACTTTCCGAGCAGTTCAGGACCAGGCCGAGTCCTCGAATGAGCTACGTCGATGTAAAAGCAATCTCGGATATGAGACAACGATTAGGCTGGCCTTCGGCAACGGGACGCTCATGAAATCTTGTACAGAAGGGCACAGAAAAAACACACACAATCGTGGTCCCAGTAAGAGGTTTCGGGGAGAGTGTCGAGACAAGAAACCCAATGAGTAAGTTACACGCAAAACAGCTCGTTTTACAGGGGGAGGTACCCAAAGGTGCATTCGTCAGAAAAAACAACGTTCGCCTCGTACTCTCGCGCCGCTCGACGATTATTTCGACGATTTTCCGCGTGTCGCGATCGAGACGGCTGCGGCTGCGCCGTCGCAACCGGACGTCGTGTTCGTCAAGTCCGGGACGAATCGTGTAGCTTGGACTTCGCCTTTCGCGTCGTCGTGACTATCGTCGAGTATCGATACATGTCTGTCGGAAAGCTCCTGGATAAAAGTTTGCCCAAAGTATGTACGAATATATCGGCAAAGCGTACGGAAAAGAGCGCGAACACGCAGAGGTGAAAGTCGCGAAAGCCACTTCTGGTTGAGAAGTTTGAGTCTTGTACTTAACTCTGCAAATTCCGTCGAATCTGGAATCGCATGGCCGATAATAAAATGCAGAAAATTAATCTGTCTCACGCGCATTCGGATCTAAATTAAAAATCAAACCTAAATCTTTCTCGCTCGAATCGTACAATGTACAATGCGGGACAACCGAAGACTCTGTGTAATACGGCTCTGAGAGAATAATTAATTACAGATGCGTACTTACTGCCGTTATTCGACTGGATCGACCTGGATCGATGTTTCTTATTGTGTGAAATAAATACAGGCACACGAGTAATCAGAGGTATTCGCGAGGCTGTAATTAATCGTCCGATGATGACAGGCTTTGAGTGCCGGCTTAAATCTCGATTCAATCTCCTTATTCTCGGTGAATTTGTCAAACGTCCGTTCAGCATCGTGTATAATAAATTATTTCACGCTCCTGTGGAAATGTGCACGCAGTGTGTATATCGCTGACCGCGTCCTGCGTCCTCCGCTTTCTGGCTTTCCAATCCAACATCCTGCTTCCCGCTGATCCGTCGTGACACTTCAGTTACTAGCGAATGTGGCGCTGACACTCGCTACAACTAGATACAATTCGATCGGATCGGCGTATTACCTAACCAACACGATACCGGCGAGAGCCGATTGAATATTTCACGAACCGGCAAAATATTCGGATCATCCGATGGGAATTGCAACTAACGCACCGATACACGTGCTCGTTCGCGGAATTGTTTGAGCAATATTTTTTTTTCTCTTTTTTTTTTTTTACCAAGCTACGAGGGCATTAAATGGTTACGATTGCGAGCGACTACTCGCGACTACCTGCGCGGCCATTCGCGTGACAGGAGCCAAAGTGACGATATATGAGACATCTGACGTCGCAAGTACTACGAAAGATTCAAGAGAAACACAAGGATCCCTCTTCATCGCGTAATATAATATTTTTATCTGTCAGATAAGAATATAATAGTCGATGTATATACAGGGTGCACGATTTATCTGAAGACATTGAAATATCTCGAGAACTATGCATTGGATAAAAAAAGTGGTTAATGAAAGTTGTTAGTCTCGAAGGGGGACATCCAATGATACCAAACTCGACCTCCCACCCCACCCCCTGGGGGTGGGGGTTGGGGGCAACTTTGAAATCTTAAATGGAAACCCCAATTTTTTATTGCAGATACAGATTCTACGCCACAAAATACGTAAATTTTGTCCGAAACTTTTTTTTTGATTCGTGATAGATGGCGCTGTAATCGCAAAAAATTATATTTTCCGCAATTCTCCAGAAATGATCATTGGATTGAGAAATAAAAAATACCTGTTCAATATTTTTAAAGAACATAATAAAAGTTATTAAAAAGATAAGGTTTATCAACCTAACCTAAAAGATAAGGTTTATCAACAAATGCCAACAACTCGTGAAAACATGGTAGAACGCATAAGAAACGCTTGCGCTGAAACTCCCGCAGATATGCTTCTATCCTGTGTACAGTCATTTGAAAAAAGGATCAATAAGTGTATTGAAGTTGAAGGTAAAAATTTCGAACACTTACTCTAATTAATTGAACAGTGAGAGGCAAGGGGACTCACATTAAAAAAGCACCCCGATCTGTGAGAGGTAAGGGGACTCACATTAAAAAAGCACCCGTAGGGAACATAAAACTACTACGTCCTCGTCGTTGTTCCTGTGTAACGCTAAAAGTAGTTCTCGGAAAAATTCAACGCTATCTATCACGAATGAAAAAAATTGTTTCAATAAAAGTTTCACGTACAATCTAATTCTGCAATGAAAAATGTGGCTCCCCATTTGAGATTTGAACGTTATCACCCACCCTATCCCGAGAGGATGGGGGAGGAATAACTTTTATTATGTTCTTTAAAAATATTGAACAGGTATTTTTTATTTCTCAATCCAATGATCATTTCTGGAGAATTGCGGAAAATATAATTTTTTGCGATTACAGCGCCATCTATCACGAATCAAAAAAAAAGTTTCGGACAAAATTTACGTATTTTGTGGCGTGGAATCCGTATCTGCAATAAAAAATGGGGGTTTCCATTTAAGATTTCAAAGCCCCCAGGGTTGCCCCCAACCCCCACCCCCAGGGGGTGGGGTGGGAGGTCGAGTTTGGTATCGTTGGATATCCCCCTTCGAGACTAACAACTTTCATTAACCACTTTTTTTTATCCAATGCATAGTTCTTGAGATATTTCAATGTCTTCAGATAAATCGTGCACCCTGTATACCTTGCCCGATATTTCTCAGTTTGCTGTCTGCTGTCACTTCGACTTCTATCGTAAGGAATTTCCTGGAATTGTTTATCGAGAAGGAATCAAACCGTTTAAACCGCCTGGCAAATGAGCGTACGCATCGTTTTCGACCTGTGACGTAACGCGACCTTCGATCGCGGAAGAGCACGCGACCCGCGACTGTAAAGAAAACAAAATCGGAGAAAGGGACAAAAACTCGCGTCGATCGTTAATCCTCACCAGCCGAGCCCGAGCTAGATCGCGAAATTGCAACAATCGGCGCTCTCAAAACGTCCCGGACTTTTTGAGGTGGTTAGACGCACCTTCGCGCGCCGCGGACTTTTCCGCGTGTTTAAACTGTGCTCCGCGGGCCGGCGAGCATGTATCGGTGCGTATCGATTGTCATTTGTCAATCAAGTCATTAACGCGTCTCGCGGACTTTCGCGCGATATTTCATCGGGCGCGTTCGACGTCGCGTTAATTAACACACCGCGCTTCCTTCGGTCGAATCGTACGTGCGCGCGCGCGCGAGTGTCAGTGCTGGTGCCAGTGCGAGTGAACAACGGAGCCATCAGGAGCCGGAGAGAGAAGGACGTGAGAGGACGAGGGCAGCGATATTAACAGGTATGTAAAATCATCGATATTGCAGAATTGCTTGATTTCGACGGACACGAAGCCGTAGGGCGAAAAGTCGAACACACTCGTGTGAACCGGCCGCGCGAGAACCGGTCTCGATCGGAAGTTTCATCGGGAAAGGAGCGAGTCGTTTTCCGTCGAAGGACCCAACGACTCGGGGAAACCTCGCTGCGCGAGACGCAGCGGCTTCGTTTCGCCGGCGGATTAAACGCGTGGCCCGCTAACGCGGAAATAATCGTCGAGCAAGTCGAGGTGTCGAACAAAGGCGTACCGAAGTAGGGTAGTAGCCGCAGTAGTGGTGAATTTGGTAAGGCGGTGAATTACTTTCTGGCTGATTGCATTATAAATGTGTGGACAAACGAATGAGCGGATTCTGATGTTGAAAGAGAGAAAGGGTTGACTGGGGTTGACTGAGAGAGCAAGGGGACGGGTGGGTTTCGGGGTCGTGGAGTTGTACGACTGGTACGTTATGCCACTCTAGTGTATAACTACAAGAGGTTCGAAGGAACAAGAGAGTGAGAGAGAGAGAGAGAGAGAGAGAGAGAGAGAGAGAGTGAGAGAGAGAGAGAGTGAGAGAGAGAGAGAGAGAGAGAGAGAGAGAGAGAGAGAGAGAGAGAGAGAGAGAGAGAGAGAGAGAGAGAGAGAGAGACAGAGAGAAAGATAATCTCGGGGCCGTGTTGCATCGGGGCCCGATAATCCTACCTTGAAGAGCTGTACGCCAATGACGGCGAACACGAACTGCAGGAGGCTGGTGACGAGGACTATGTTTCCGATAGTCTTTACCGCTACGATGACGCACTGTACTACGTGCTGGGTTCAACATTAATCACAATATATATGTATTGGCCCATTTCGTGGAGAGATGAGAATTAGAACGCGCGCCGTGTGTGTCGCGTGATTTTTTGTTTTACTTTTTCGTTCGGTTTGCTCTTTGGTTCCGCCTGTTTCTCTTTCTTTTTTTCTTTTTTTCTTATTTTTTTTCTTTCATTACTTCTCTCGACGAGAAACGCATGTAACTCGGAGTTCGAGCTCAAGTGAGACCATCTCGAAATCGCGGGAGCGAGGAAGTTTCTTCGCGAAGGGAAGTCTCTCTTCGGAGAGCGAAGAGAGAAAGAGAGACTCGCGCGAATTCGTTAAGCTCTCGCACGACGATTCTCCGCACGAAAGTACGCAAGAGACGGATTCTTGATCGCTAGAAGTAGAAGTTTTTCTTTTTCTTTCCTTTTTTCTTTTTTTTCTCTTACCGACAATCCTCTATAATGCATCGAGGGTCCTGTCGGAATTTCGGGCCGTGAATTTTTTACTTCGGGGCGCGAGGTGTACGCGCGCGCGTGCGTGTGTGTGTCTGGAAAACACTCGCGGCAAATAGCACGTTATCGCTCAGCGCGCGGCTGAATTTTCGCATCGCTCGAGTGATATCTGCCACCGCGACGTAGGTCGAGCGGTCCCCGTTCGATTGTCATTCGTTCTTTCCGTTGACGCGGTGAATGTTCCACGTGACAAAGATTCCCGTAAAATACGTAGCGCGAGATCGTTCCCGAAATTAACTCGCTCGGCGCTCTTCCACCATTTGCTTTTCGATAATCGCAACTTCGCGAACGCTTGGCGATCAACGTCGGAAGTATGGAGCGATTCTTTGAATTTAGCTGGCTGTGGACAATTACGGTATTATGCTTCTGGCAGAGTTACTATTACGTCTACTGTAGGGCTGTGTATGCTATGAATCGGGCCGGTTTCAGCGGACTTACAGGTAGATAAGACAAATGAGCGAGATACCTTCAGTCCCTTGGCACGATTAATCGCGCGTAGCGGCCTCAGCACGCGAAGCACTCGGAGCACTTTGACCACGGAGAACGCGCCGGAACTGCAAACATACGACAAATAATATCATGAATATATCGTCATGAGTCAAATCTGCACAAGGGGCAATTTTATTCTTCGAGTGTCCTCTTTATCGACCAAGCTCTCGAATTTCAATCTCTCGAATTTCAAGTTCGCACATTCCTCCGTATTTTTAACGGGAGGAATGCAAAAGCGATGCAAAGGCGATGTATAAAAGACTCGGTAGAATTTGACAACGAATTGACATTCTTCTTTTTCTCTGCTAATAAGAGGACAGTTCGCTTTTGCGCTTCGTTCATGAAATGACATTAATATGAAACATGATGATCGTACGTGAAAGTCATGGAGACGAGGGAGGCGCAAACGACAAGAAGATCGAGCAGATTGAAAGCCGAGCGGCAGAACGCGCCGTCGTGGATGATGAAGCCGTATGAGATCATCTTGAGGCAGATTTCGATCGTGAAGACGGTGGTGAAGAAGTAGTCGAAGTAGTTGAGTATCTGCAACACAAAGCGTCGCTCGCCAGTTACGTCGTTAACAGCTATCTTAAACGGATTTTACGATAGCTTCGCACGAGTACTTCAACCGGACGGATATGTTCGGCGACGCGGCTGAAAAAAAGAAAGAGAGAGAGAGAGAGAGAGAGAGAGAGAGAGAGAGAGAGAGAGAGAGAGAGAGAGAGAGAGAAATCGATTCGCCTTTCGACGCGATCTCATACCTGATTTCTATAAGACGAGGCTTTCAATGGATCTTCGGCGGCCAACATGGCGGAGGAGATCATAATGCAGATCAGTATCACGTTGCTGAAGTAACTGTGATTGCAGAACCAATGGCAGAACACGCGAAACCTGCGAAACGCGATCGAGAAGAAGCATGATCGAGGCCGAAAGTGCGTGCGGAACGATATTCGAGAAAGGACGCAGAAGATCCCTCCGAGATTGCGTTCCTCCCCGATTAAGCTCCTTTTTTTTATTACCTATTAGTGCTCGAAAAGATGAAAAACGCCGAGCCAGCCGGTATCGGTTCCTTTTTAGTCGCCATGTTGTATTCGGACATTCTTCGCGGTCTAGCCGACACTTCCTGTCCGTCTTCTGCGAGAGGGAATCATAAAAGACCCGTTGAGCTTGCACAGGGTTATCGACGCAAGAATGATTAATAGTCAAGTATTATACGATGCAGTGAGTGAAAGAAGCGCGCGAGATTCGCGTGGGGTGTACGATAGGGAAATTTATCTTGGTTCCTTTTATTCACAATTTTCCTTTTCAATGCTGCGCTCCGTACGAGCCCGTAGTAGTTACGGGCGTTATGTGTCGTTGTTGTCGTTGTTGTCAAGAGTGTTATCAATTATTACATGACAGACAGGAATGATAAATAGCGGCTCTTGATAATTAGCAGCTGCGCGTGGAAATGCGCCGGGCGCGATCGAGGGACGCGTATCAAGAAACTAAATAACGATCTCGCAACACGCGAAATAAACAAAAGGGTCGACTCACCTTGACGCGCGCGTCAGGTCCGCAGACAAAAACGCGCTGGTCGCGGCTCAAACATAAATCACACCACCGGGTCGCGTCGCACGGCCGTGCGGAACTTTTTTAAACTTTCCCAGAATTTCGCGAGCGTTGAGGCAAATCGTAATAGTTCGCGAGCGTGACCACCGTGCCGAAATCGTCACATCGCGGTGTGAACAGCGGTGCAAACGACGCGAGACGCGAGAGGTTCGCCAGCGCGTTCCATTTTTGTCGAGTTTCATTTGGCCGGCCACACTACAGCCGTTGGATTATTATCGACGTGACTAATTGGAGAAATGATTTTTCTGTCGCAGACTTCGCGGCGTTTGCGGTCACTGCGGATGCGGCACCGGAGGATCCGGCTCGGGCCAAGCGGGGTCGGCTCGAAGGTACGTTCAGAGACCCTTGAGTTCACCTTCTCAGCTCTTCGAGTCGTAAAGCGAGGCATTGCCGTCGGATTACGACCGCGAAGAGTCAGTCCGCTCGCGCGTTTTTCATGCGCATTTGCTCGTTTAATCGAGGCCTCGGATTTAACTGACGATATTGTACCTTTCATTCCAGATCCGAAAAGCGGAATGTGGCCGGCCCTGAGCTCTCGAGGTGTTGTCCGGTGAGTGAGAAAATTTATGGTGGCGGGCCGGGATAGACGTTGAGAAGCAATGCGACTTGCCTAGATTGCATGTGTTTGTTTGTGCTGTGGAATAAGACGTTCGCTCGAAATAATGAGGGGATCGCTTTTTCGGGAAATAGCTGGCTCTCAAATGCCTGGACGTCCGATCGTAATATTCAATCTTGATCGTTAGTGAAAACATACATTTATGACATATAATACGCGATGACGTTTATAATGACGTGAAATATCGCGGAGCGATATCTTATCGAGTCGTTCCCTTGCGTCTGCTTAAATTTGTTGAACGCGATCCCACAATTGTGTCGAGCAACGGTACAATGCGCATGACAATTGCGCCAAGTAAGCTTCGCACAAGACTGCGGAGTAATCTTCGCATAAATTGCGAGGCCATCGTGCATAAGACTTCACGCTATTCGCGCATATCGCGATAATAGGCTCCGCGATCGCTCCTCATTCGGTGCGATTTTCCGCGTATATATTTTCACGTGACGATCGCGCATTTCCATTCGCGACATTTATTATGGGTTTTTCACACGCGACTCGCGTGCTGCTGCTTTGCATTCGGATGCCGTTGTAACACGGTGCTGATTGGCGAAACGGGAAACTCATTCAACAGAATATCAAAACGCCAAAACAAAGGCGTCATTCTCCGTGTTTTCGATTTTGCCTGACGAAGTTTTCCGCGGTCGCGCTTCGCGACTTCAGGGTCGACTTTTAACGCGACAAGTATTGTAATCAGTCGTCCGCGAAGTTTCACTTTCTTTCTCGTCATACAGATTTCGAGGTAGAAATTTTAATAAGTCGGAATCTGCCGCCGATATCATTCGTTAAACGTCGTCACAATATGGACATCAATCGCGCCGCGAATGAAGTGCAAGTGTAGCGAAGTGCAATCAACGTTGCGGGGCAACGTGGGAGACGGACGATATCGACGGGGGTAGGATTTACGGATGGGGCAACGTCGGTGGACCTGACTGGACCTCGGGACATTTCAACGCGAAATGGTGAGTGACGAATTTCATCACTCACAAGAGTGTCATATAATGTAGCGCATGCTCGATCGTAAATCGCATTGCTTCTCGACGAGAGAACAGTCAAGGCAGTAGTTGCTCGTTGAACTGCTACTCCGGAAGTGCGAAAATTCGGCTAAAGCGGATACCCGCTTTGCGCAATTTGTCAAATACAAGCCGACTTTTGGCGAACATATTGAATCGATATCGCTGTACAAATTCGCACATTGAAGCAATTGAGAAATTGATGCGCGCGATTTGACCGACGTCCCATCGGCCAACACAGCCGTACACATTCGCCGCGCACTGAACCGGCTGATTTTAAGCCGGCTCACTCCCATTAAAAGAATAACGTTTTAATGACTCTACGCGTGAATTATATGTGACTTTTGTCGCGCTTTTTTTATCGAAAAATCGAAACATTAATCGTGAATAGGGAACTGAATTATGAGTAGGATCTTTAATTATGATTTCGATAATTATCGGAACAATATTTCAAGTTTAATCACATGCGACAACAACATTAAGCACGTACCTTGCATCTCCTCCTGTTCGACTCCCTCCTCTTCCTCTTCCTCCACTTCTTCCTCGTCCGACTCAATGTTGAGCCGCACTTTCGTATGCGTATTCATGTCCTCGCTTTTTTCCGATCTAAGACCAGTGATAATCATTGAGCACACGACAGGGATTTTCTATCACCTCGACCGTAAGTGAAGACTTTCAGGGAATCACTCATCTTTCAGGGAATTTGTAATGCGTATCATGAAAAAGAAGACGCTGAGAATTAATGTCACAAAACTTCGCACAAAATTTATCTCCTCTTTTCGGTCAACGGACTCGGTCTGAAGATCGAGACGTCATTGACGAAACTGCGGAGGAACTTCAAAGTCAAACGTATCCTTGGTCCTTGAACCGTGATTATCGACATCCGCGAAGATTCTCATGCATTATCAGCCCACGATATAGTGTCGCGCAAGCGTAATACCGCCCGCCAATCTCATTACTGTAATAGCAGCTCGTCGTCGTTACAACTTACATCGGCAACTTACACGTTGCCTTACGTTATGAGAAAGCTTACGTTTCGGTGTCTAGTGCGGCCTCGTAGTCCTCCATTGTCTCGTTAGGATCGTGTTCGAGATCCGTACCGGCGCCTTCGTCCTCTCCTCCGGTCCCCTCGCCTCCATCGTCGCCAGCTTCACCGCTGACCTCATCCCTCGTCGGTGAACCGCTGCGTGATTTATTTTTTTCCGCCTGCGAAGTAGGCAACAGACAGGGCGAATTGTCGCGGATAGAATATTGCTGAACAATCCGCGGTAAATGACCGGCGATATTAAAGCGAGAAGATGAATGAAAAACGCAGCGAGCCCACAGCGGCGCAGGTCGTCGGAGGAAGAAAAGATGACAAAGAAGTTAGGACGTCGAGATTGCTTTTACGGAAAAAGACAGATTGATCGATTCGGCAAATCGATAACTTGCTGTATAGTATTGCAATTCGAGCCGATTCGTTGGAGCGTTGAAGCGAGGAAATTGTGTACAGGCCGATTGTCAATTCACTCAGACCTCGTTTTCGCAGATAATATTATCTCAATTATTGAAGTGCATTTTCATATCGTATATTTTCAGCTAATTTCCAGTCCACGAAACCAATCGGATAATTTATTTATCACGGTTTGTGAATCGCACACGGCGATTACGGGGTCGCGCGCCGATCGACCAGTAGTAAAAGACGCGCAATGGTCAGACCGCGTCATTTAATCCAATCGATAAGGATATAATTTCCTCGGTCTCAATCAAATACTATTTTATTGCGTACTCGCCGCAAAGTTGAAGCAAAACGGCGCGACGTGCAATTTATTAACGTCTTCCGTGAAAGAAGGAAATAGAAATAAAATAATTTGAATAATAAATTGAAAGATTGGTCGAAGAACGCGAGTTTCAGCGGTGCGTTCATGCCCGTTCGGGCGTGATATCGGAACCGGCCCGGTGTGTTGTTTATCCCTTTCTAATAAATCGGGACTAATTAAATTTTCGGCAATTAACATTGTTCCTGGACGATTAATATCATTATTATGCAAAACTCTCTCTCTCTCTCTCTCTCTCTCTCTCTCTCTCTCTCTCTCTCTCTCTCTCTCTCTCTCTCTCTCTCTCTCTCTCTCTCTCTCTCTCTCTCTCTCTCTCTCTCTCTCTCTCTCTCTCTCTCTCTCTCTCTCTCTCTCTCTCTCGCCCAGCGAGCTAACACATTTTCGCGAGTTTGAGCGTAAATAACCCGCACAAACATTTGACTTATGCTTACTGTAGCAAATCGCCGCTTGTCGAATTGGCGCCAATCGTTTATTATTTCGTTAACGTTCGCGTACGCGCGCGTAATAACATCGACTCGTTTACTCGAGGAAACGCGAATATCCGACGAGACGTCGGTTTTCACGTGCGACGTAAAGTCGAACGACGACGGATGCGCTCGCGATAAAAAGTTTGATCGGACGGAGAAAGAGAGAGAGAGAGAGAGAGAGAGAGAGAGAGAGAGAGAGAGAGAGAGAGACAGACAGACAGAAAGAGAGCGGTAAACTTCTCTATTGCCGCGACCTCACGACTTGGAAGTGCACGCCGGCTGCAGCTCGCGCGGGAAGAAAGCGACACGCTTCTTTTACTGCTTGTAAAAGAGTCGTCCGTAAACAACAATACCGTATCGTGCCGTCCGCCGTACGTTCGATTCGCAGTATCGACACATTCCACTCCGTCGCTTAACTTTCGCGCTATTGTCGCGCTGAGATACGGCACGTTGATCGCGCATTAATTTGCACGTCGCGGTAATTGATCTCGTCTCGCGATTACGGCTGAAGATTCGAGCGTCGCATATGCGGAATACACGCAGGATAACAAGGCGTTCGCGTCGCGCGCTGAAAGCGCACATCTAATGAGGATCGTAACTCCCGGCGCGCGTTCAACGCTTTTTCACCAAACTCGCGTATGGTTGTTATCGGGCAGGCATGGTTAACCAGCTGCGAAACTTTGCGAAGCCACAGCTTCAGATTACTTGGCGCGAGCAAAAGTGCGTTGCTTGCGCCGCGTAACTTTGCGAATTGTGCGCATCTGATAAAGGAAACGAACCCTCCTCTGAGACTTCCCCGTCTAATGCCCGTGTTAATTCGGATAATTTTAATACCTGTGTTGAAGTGCTCGAGCGAAGAGCGAAGAATCTTTTTTTCACGCTAAATTGAGAACGTTATTTCTCCATCGCGGTTTCTCAAAGATTCGTAACTCCCGCTACACTTTGGAAAGTTCCAAGTCGATTATATCGCGACTCGACAAAGTTGTAACAATTTCCGCGATTGTCATTTAAAAAGTATATATAAACAATGACGTGTGCATACAACACAGGACTGGGAAAATCGCGTTTTAAGAACAACTCGTTATCATTGTCGTTACCCGAGCAACGAGTCGCTGCAATTCCCTATTTTCTGTATTCTCACCACTAGGTGTTTGAAAACGTCGCAACTCGCAGCGGTAACGACAAGTTGCAAGTAACACGTTATTTCCCAAGCCTGCGCGTACAAAGCGTGTCTCTTACACAGCAGCTATCGGTACGTACGGATTTTCCTCCGTGTGCACTCCGACCGAACTAACACCACCGGCATTATAAACTTGGCGCGACGATATGCCGACGCGATAATACAAAATACGATAGACGCATCTCACGCGCGTATCGATGCGACGTGGCAGAAGGAGAAAATTAGAACAGCACCCTTTTTATCGCCCTTATACGACCGTTGAACACGACGCTCATTTACCCTCACAGGGGATGAGCGTCGTCTCGTCGTCGTCGTCGTCGTCGTCGTCGTCGTCGTCGTCGTCGTCGTCGCCATTGTCATGCCTGCAGACTTATTCGAGCGAACTCGCCGTGTGTCTATAATGCGCCTCGTGATACCCACTTCTCGTAAATGCTTGGCGCGATGCAAATACGCACTTCGCATCTCCTCCGGTGGAACAGAGCGCGGTCGAATCAGCCTGATCGTTTATGGAAATACGGGAGAAGCTGCTCTCGTACAAAAGAGTTACGGGGATTCTAAAGCGCCGGGAGGATAATGACGTGCACTTGAATTCATTCGCTTCCTTACGCCAAGGCCTCTCTTACGACGGGAGGTGATCGATGATGCCGACGCGGCTCATTAATTTAACCGAGAGATTATGAAGTGGCGTTCAGCGTCGGGGTGGAAAAGAGAGCTGATGTATGAAAAGTATTTCGAATCATTCACGTCGCTATTATCTTAAAATACACGGAGAGGGTGTTTCCGAAAATTATCGTGCGAGACTTCCGTAGCGTATTCTGGAGCTTAATCAGTGTCGAAAATTCCAACACGGAATTGTCGAGATGGAGCATCTGCAAATCTCAATTTTTCATACATCTTTATACACTTATTAACCAAATCTCCGATTTAGAATCTCTCGATTAGAATCGAGTGAATTTCATGCCTGAAATTAGCTGAAAAATCGTGGATCGATCTGGTTGCTGCTAGCTGCTCGCTCACTCAATAAGTATCGGCGTCTCGACATTTTTCGTTTAACGTTCCCGACTCCGCGATCCAATTGCGAGATGTAACGGCAACGGTGTAAATGTTGCTGAAAATGTTGCACAATCCCGAACTTTCGGGAACACCGTGTGCACGTGTTATAAATAATAAGTGCAAAAATAACTTTGCACAGTCACGAGGTAAATTACAAGTTTTCACGGTACAAGTACACGGCAAGTACACGTGACTTTTACCGACAGCGGCTATGAATCTTTAATTGAGGAAACGATGAAAAGATAATCTCCTTAATGTATAGAATTTCGTTGGTGCGAGCATCGAGGCGCGTCTAATGAAGCACCGCGGTATACATATTAAATTCGCGCATGCGCGCGCGCATTACGTCCGCGAAACGATCGGCGATCTAATACATAATGTATCGCGAGCGGTTAACATTAAAGGGGGGAGGGAACTCACCTCCTCCTCGGCCTCCTTCTCGATGGCAGTTAGGGACTCGGCATCGGCGAGATTATCGACGGCGATAGCCAAGAATACGTTCAAGAGGATATCTGCGTTGCTATCTGCGTCAAGGATCGATGAAAATTTATTGGATCCGACCGGACAAGCGATGTCGCTCGCTCGCTCGCTCGCTCGAGAACGCGCGAGCCGGGCGCGGCGACATTGTTCGTCCGGAGGGGGGCGCGTCAGAGCGCGATGACAAAAGGATACAGTTGCCGCATATGAAGAGGATGATGAAATAAACGCAGGCGAGCACACCGATGCTGGCGACGCCGCCGTAAGCCAGAATTCCGACGTACATTACGACGTTCCAGTCCTCGCCGGTCAGTATCTGGAAGCGCGAAACGCAAATACACCGCGTCGCTTTTAGAAGCGTGGAAAATAGAAAGGAAAAATAGAAGCGTGAAAATAGAGCGTGGAGGCGCCCGCGCTCGCGCTCGCGCGCGCCGTTACTACTCGCTAGTATTTTCGCGATAAATCAAGAGTGTAATTTCGCGGGCGCAATTGAGCGCGCGCGGAATTGCGCTCCGCCGCCCGCCGCGCGGGCGCGGTTGCTCTCCTCTCCGCGAGTTTCGTTCTTTTTCCTCTTTTTTCCGGTTTTTTTTTTCTCTCTTTGCTCTCCCTCCCCCGTCGCTCTCCTCTTTTCCGTTGCTCGCGTGAGAAATGACGCGCACGGGATACCTGAAACACGGTGAGCAAGCTCTGCCAAAAGCTGTCGAAGTTGTGACGCGTCTTCTCCTCCATGTCGCTGAAACTGAACTTTCCACCGAAGACCTGTTTGGAGAATAAACGTTGAAGAATAAACGAGTCGCGTTACTCAGCCGCACCGCGATTCGATCTACCTGCATGCCCAGAAGAGCGAAGATGACGATGAAAAGGAAAAGCAGGAGCAACAAGGAGGCGATGGACTGTATCGAGTTGAGTAAGGAGGCCACCAGATTCGACAGTGATCTCCAATATCTGCAACAAACGGGCACGCGGATATTCCACGAAAATTTATTTAATGTTAACAATCTAACAAGGGGTCCTCCCCGGGGACACATTCGTAGTGACAAGAGATACGATAGTGAACGATATACGTCGCACGATGAGTGCATCGATGACGAAGCTCGATGACGAAGGGCACGGCGAATATGATTCTAAGTAAGGATGCCGATTTTAAATCGATTTAATCGGAGATCGATTAATCGAAGCCTGAAAGATCGATTTCAAGTCGATTTTCTGGAACCGAATCGATTCAAGGATCGATCTGTAAATTCTGAAAATCGCCAACACGATTTTTCCAGTTTCTACTAGTAATATAGCTTTTTTTTTATTCTTTTTAATTGTAATATTTGAACTCATTCAATGGCTGCACGATGCACATTACGTTGCCTTCAGGCCGATGTCCCGTGGGCGAAAATTTTCAGCGGAACGGAACGCGCGGAACCAATCACAGCCACTCCATATAATAGTATATATTGTATACATATACATATGCATATAATAGTAAACGTGATTTCTTATTTAATAACGTTTAAAAACCCTCGATTGATGTTTAATCGAACCAATTAAATCCTTAGCATAAAGATTTAAAGATCTTTTCTTTATCTTGTGTGGCCGCACACAACACAACCAAAAGAGTACCATCTATTTAATTTCTTCAATTCACATTAAACTTTCTATGAATTACACGAGGTCTGCTTTAGAGTATAAAAATTTGACAGATAGTATACTTTAATGAGTGCTTCACTTTACATGCATACAATCGATTCAAGTCGATTTTCTGAAATCGATTCTTTACAAACCGATTTTTTTCTTCGTGATTCGAATCGATCTTTAAATCGATCTGTTTGAAAAAAAAAAATCGGCATCCCTAATTCTAACGACGGGTCTCTCTAGAAAGAGACATTTGGTCGGCAATTTATACTCACTTTGTTACTTTGAATACCCTGAGCAGCCGGACGCAACGGAGTACGGAAACGCCAAGAGGCGGCATCACATGTGTATTTGTAAAGATCATCTCACTGATCGAGCCGATCACGACGAAGCAATCGAAGCGATTGAACAGCGAGACGAAGTAACCCTGTGAAGTAAGTAGACGACGTCTGTGAGGATCGCGCTCGCTCGAGAAAGGAAAAGGAGAGAGAAGCGCGTCTCCTCTTCTCTCCCTCTCTCTCTCTGTACTAATCCGCCACGTCAACGAAAGCGGGCTACTTGTTTACGAGTATATCAAAGTTCAAAGAACGCGACGACTCACGCTCGCTCACCTGAAAGCCTAAACTGTACATCTTCAGCATCATCTCCATGGAGAACAGCACGATGAAAAACATATTCGTGATCTCTGCGCAGAGAAGAGGGCGGGCGAGCAGTTACGAAGCGCACATTAACCAAAGGCAACGGGACGATTTATAATTAAAGGCAAACACAAGTCTCTCGAACACGAGAGAGAGAGTCAACTTTATTCCCGCTAACCGCCGGCCGACGGTATTTACCTTGAAAGTCGTCCAACCAGCGCGGCTGATTGTAGTGCTCCGTGGCGAGGACGCCGGTATTCAAGAAAACCAGAATTATGATGAGCCAATAGAAGACCTGGGACTTCACGGCCTTCCTGCAGGCTCGCCTCATCCGCCTGTTCACTCTGCGAATTTTCGCGACACGTACAAACAATGCCGCGCGATATAAACATCCCCTCGCTCGCTCGCTCGCTCGCTCGCATGCGAAATGCTTACGGCGGCTCTTGTCGCGATAAATGACTCTTTGATCTCTGACGCTCGTCGGCCGCGCGCGTACCTGCGGAAAAGTACGGCGTTCCTCCCGGAATATAAAGGAAAATCGCGGAAAATCTGTCTTTTGTGCAACCGAATGCCGCGCGATCGAATTGTTGCGCGCGACACGATTCCTCGAGCTTTACTTTGAAACGGACAATACCGCGGCAGCTATGATTTCGAGCACGGACTCTCGCGTTTTTCTCCCGTGTTTTGCCTCACCTGTCCAGATCTCTCTTTTTCTTCTTCCAAATGGATTCCTGTTGGACACCCTCCTCGTCGCCCTCCAATTGATCCGTGCTCTCCATTTCGTTCTGTTGCTTGGCTATGTAATATTCAATGTTGAAACTCGGTCAATTAATTAGCATACTTCGACTAGTATAATATTCAAGCGGAAGGGGGGGGAGGGAGAAGGAGAAACAGAGGAAGATGGGTAGAAGGGGAGAGAGAGAGAGAGAGAGAGAGAGAGTTATTTCAACTCGAGGGACTGACTTTAGCATGAAGAATTTTCCGAATTTCATTCGCGCACTTCTCTGCGTTAATTTGATTAATGCGCAATATTTGGGAAGATCGCGTAGATAAATGAAATTGATTTCGCCCGCAGTAAAATCCAATGTCTCGTGGATTGTAAACGCACAATCGCACATCTGCATTGCGCTTCTCCGCCATTTGGGAAATTAGCGCGCGCGATTGAAACGCGCGACCGACCGATGAACGATGAGCTGTTAATGCGCGAAACGCGCGAGTACAAATCGAATTGTTCGCAAGTCGGGCAATTGAATTTGAAATCGGGAGGCAGAGGGGAAGGGGTTGTGGGGTCGTTGGGGGCCCAAGTCACAAGTATACATACATTTTCCGTCTTGCATCTTCGGCTCGTCAGCCTCCGGCTCGATGTCCTCCGCCTGCGTTATCCAGTCGAGGTAGCCCCTGAGATCGTCCTCGATCTGCTGCTTCTCCCTGAGTTTGTGAAAGTCGCCACGCGCCTTCGCCTTCTCTCTCTCCTTGGAGAATTCGCTGCACCGAGGATCAGAGGGAGTTTTCATGTAGTGCCGCTTGCGCGTTCGTGATTAGAGGTGCGCGACGCGCGACGCGCGTAATTGCAACATTGAAAGGCGCGATGAAACAGAAATCGAGACGCGCGTGAAAGGACGCCCGCCGTTATTTGCGCACCGAGAGAGAGAGAGAGAGAGAGAGAGAGAGAGAGAGAGAGAGAGAGAGAGAGAGAGAGCTCGCGGTCGAACGAGCGAGAAAGAACGCGCGCTGTAAATGCATCTACCTGTATCGCGAGAAACATCGAGCGAAACATGACGATGACGACGACAACGACGACACGTTTCTCGTTTACAATCTCCTCTCTTTCATACGGCCGGCAAAATAGAAGCAGCGATCCGCGCCGCCAAGGATCTAATTATTCGAGAGGTAATGCCTTTTGATGAAAGCGCGTCCCTCGAAGAATTCCGTCGACAGCCGTGCCGCCTCGTCGAGATGCGAATTCTAATATGGACGGCTCCATTCGATCGAATCTCTTAATGGTATAATTAGAGTCGTGGCTGTTTCTTCGGCGTGATTTTTATTCGTCCCCGCGATTTTTCTTCTTTCTTTCTTTTCCTTCGAAATGTTGACGGGACACGCGTCCCTGTCATCGCGCGCGCTGAGTGACTCGATGATTCGTTCCTTTGAAACACGTGTTTCGAATATTTATCTCGTGACGCCTTCGCTAACGAGATGTTTGCGCGCGTTGGCGTTAAGCGATGGGATAAAATGGAAAGAGGGGAGGAAGTTAAACGCGCTTATCATCAATATCGCTTCATCATGCCTCGATTAGCCACGCATCCTTTGCCGATACGCAACGGAGTGTGTGTCTTAACCTAAGAAAAAGATATTTTTATCTCGCCTCTTCAGCGAGCATTGCGAAACTCCGCGAGGATAGAACTCGATCAATCGAGTTATATCCTCTGAAAAATTCGCCTTGAGGATCACGAGGAACGATCGTTCTGCATCATATTGCAAATGTCGGTCTCGATATTTCAACGAAACACACGAGATGTTGGATGTTACCGCTCGAAGTACGTCCGGCAATTTCGGATTCGTCGAAACTCGGGAAAAATTACACGTGCGAGAATTTCTTCTTTCGCGACGAAAGATGGCCTACGGGGGGGGGGAGTTTTTTTCTCGACACTTACCCAGACAACACACCGAGAATTAGATTCATCACGAAGAAAGCCCCGAGGATGACCATCGAAATGAAGTATATCCACTGCCACGAGCTTCCCATCGCATCCTCGATCTGCGAACGTAAGGTAAAACTCGATTATGGAAATTATCCGGACAATCAGCAATTTCATTCAATGAGCGGGAACTCGAAGGTGCGGTTAATTGAAGCGCCACGCGATCAGGTATTAGATCCGGTATAATAACACGCTCTCTTAATGATACCATTATACGAAATAATACGTGCTCGATTAGCGCACGACAAAATTTTAGGCGTAGCGCCCGTATGGAACATTTGAGGTCTAATTGAAATCTAATTGGAATTCATAACCGTATCCTCGAAAAATCATCGACTCTGGGTTAGAATTTGCGTAAATTTCAGAAGGATCAGAAGGATAACGTTTTCAACGCGCAAATCCAAATAGGAAATCTAAACAGATCCCGCTGGCCTCCCCAATGTTTCCCCGAAAAACGTTTCTCCTAATCTTCGTTTCAGATTAGAATCGAGCAGTACGCATGAATACTTGTGCTTTCCAAACGTTGAATATTTGGAAAGTATGAATAGTCATGGTGTTCAAGTATTTCCTTCTTTTTTTTGCCCTATCGGATTCGATAGCTGGCGCAAAAATAGGAGCCCCTATCCAACTCCAAAAAAGTATATCAATTTTATTCAGCAGAAAAAAAGCGCGAGCTTCGCAGAGTTTCTATTTCGACGCTGGACCCATTTTGGGGACTCCTAATCGATATCGTAACAGAATAATCCACTTCGAAACGGATTTGGACGGTCTCGCTGGGAGGCCAGAGAGACTTGAGCAATTTCTAGCACGGGTATTACTAGAGAGTTAACGCTGCGAATGGACGAGCGGAGGCGCGCGATAATTACGCGCGGCGCGAGTTCTCGTTGTGCAAGAAAAAATTGATCGAATAAAAGCAACGCTGATCGATCCCGAGCGGGGACGATCGCGTAGCGTGACTTTACGTTATAAAGCACGTCCGTCCATCCCTCGAGGGTGACGCATTGGAAGACCGTGAGCATGGCCAGTCCGAAATTGTCGAAATTCGTGATGCCGTAGTTGGGACCCTCCCAGAACTGCTTGCTGCAGTAGTACTCGGCCCCGACCCGAGAGCACTGGAAGCCTCCCGGGCCACAAGGTACCGGATTGTCCATTATCTCGCCTGCGATATAAAGGGGAATCAAATTTTTAATCCCGAAGGCATAACGAAGGCAGCAATGTGGTGATGGCGGTGGTGATTGTGGTGGCTGCGGGACGTAATGAGGTCGGCTCTATAGCGGCCGGCGCTGAAAGTTCTAATTGGTTCGAGCCAGCCGCGAACCAAGTTCAACATGTCGTAACATCCCGTTAAAATGTTTGCATATTTTTTCCACGCGCTACGCGTAGCGGCCTTCTTCTCCCACTAATGCGATTTATCGACCTGTCTGTCTCGCGTTTCTCCGGTACATTACGGCTCGATTAAGGGGCAGCTTCGTTAACGTTGTTTGAATCGTAAATTACATACGACGCGACAAATCTGGATCCTTTGTCGAATTGCGTTGAAAGGGAGAGAAAAAACGGGTATAATTATGAGCTCTCATTGTCAACTGTCACATTAGCAGAATGCGAACGTAGAATTGAAAAACGCCAAACGGTTGCGCCGCCGTCAATTACGTGACTTGTGCGAATTAATAATTAAAATAAATTAATATATCGCCGGGAGATATATATAAGCTGATTGACAGAAATCACAACTTGTTGAAATAATTCTTAATCGCGATCCACCTCGCGAAGAAAGTCGCTCTCGAAAATGTTCGGAAATGACAGCACGATTATTTCTGATTGGTTAGTTCTATTAGCGAAACATAAGCGTAAGAAAACGAAGACACGTCAACGAAGATCGCGATGTCGTTCGACCAGATAATTCGCGCGATAATTAACAATTGACACAAATGAATAAATGCTCGAGATATCGGTCGACTGACAGATACGAATCAATCAATTTCAACCAATTACAATTGGCCGAAAAAATGTGCCACCGCTCTAGAGAGAGAAAGAGAGAGAGAGAGAGAGAGAGAGAGAGAGAAAGTGCGCTCTCCGCCAAGTCTCGCAAATCGTTCGAAATAACCCACGCGATTATTTCTAATCGCTCAAGTTAGGTTATTATAATTTGGCTCGCAGAAGAGATCCCCGCGTAAAGATGTCCCGATTTTACGAGCTGGCGCCGCGAGAGCGTGCTAATTGTTCGTCGGCTGGGGAAGCTCGGCGGGAGCGATTAGGCGGACTCTTGCATCTCCCGGCCGACATGCTTTTGTATCGCCCGGGTCTGACACGGGTGCACACGCTATTTTACGCATTCCCGTGAATCAGCTGTTCGCGGTGGGCGACGAACGGCACGCCGCAGGTCGCGCTCGCGCACCGCCCCTCGCGCTAATAATAATTAGACGTTAGTTTCGCGTCGGTTGAATCATATCTAAAATAGCCGGCTCGGCGAAAAGTGTGTTTCGAGGCTAAGCCGGGAGTTCCCTCGGGGCCCTCCGCCAAATTCTCCTCCTCCTCCCCCGCCGCCTCCAGCCCTCCGCGCTATCGCGAATCCACGCTGAATTCACGGGATGACCCCTTGCTAAGAGCATCCCGCGATTTCTGCATTATTCAAGCGGCCCCGCAACATTTCGCATCTCCGCCCTCGCTAATTTTTTATGGTCTCCCCGCGGCGGGCGGGAGGAGGCCGAGGGAGAGGATAAATATCCCCTCGGACGTTGAGACGAACACCCGGTAGTTTCGATGCAGCGCTCGAATCTGAGGCTTCTCTCAGCCGATCGACTTGAACTTCAAACGAGCGGCCCGTCCTTTTAACAGGCTTTGTGTCTCTCTCTCTCTCTCTCTCTCTCTCTCTCTCTCTCTCTCTCTCTCTCTCTCTCTCTCTCTCTCGGAATCGCGTTTGTCGGGATCAATCGGAGGCCACGTGGAATCTCACGTGGTGGTGGGTAGTTCACGACTCGGGAGTTAATTTTGGATCGAGCGTGCGCGAGGAATCTCCGGCGGATTGGCGCATTAAACACGCGGCCCGGCTGAATTTTTCACGACAACGACGGCGACGACGACGACGACGACGACGACGACGACGATGACGAGGACGAATCGCTCGCGGCGCGACTCGCTCGAAGAAGCCGCTCCGTTGGAACGAAGTTTCTCAGGCCGCGCAGCGGGAGGACTCGCTCTGCCAGAAATCCCGAATACAAAATTTAATAAATTGGAGAACAGCCGTATCGATCCGACGTGCTGTCCGGCGCCGCGCTGGAACGCCGTTGCCAGCAGTGTCGTCTGTGAAACTTTTATTTATCGCCGCGCGGCGCGCAGCGAAGCTGAAGCATGGCACTTACCAGTTACGTTGTGCCTGCAAGTTTTGTGCATCTTCCCGGAGAACAGCTCGAGGCCGATGATGGCGTAGATGATGATGACGAAGAGAACTAATAAAGCGATGTGCAAAAGCGGTATCATCGCCCTCAAAATAGAGTTCAGGACCACCTGAAGACCTGTGAACGCGAGTGTGAACGAGAGTGAAACCTTGCCGAATTCTCGCAGAAACCACGCGTCGATCTTTCATTCAACCCTCTCTGCGCTTGCCACGAGGAGGCCGTGAATGCAAAAGACGACTCGTTAATATCGCTCGCTATCCATCGACCTCACTTGTTCATTCATTGATTTCGAGTGTTTCGCTGTGCGCTTGTGACGGTCACGGATATCAAGTACCGTCGGGAATTTCTGATGAAATGCGGCGCGCAGAGTCTTTCGAATGTTTGGAATTTCAGTCTGAAATGTGTATTGTTGTGTAGCGAACTTTCGGCTGGCGCGCCGCCACGACGCCCTTGCAGCGCGAAGGGTCGACTGAGATCCTTTACTCGAACATTTGAACAATGCTCTTCGACGACAACAACAACAAGCGCGTGGTCTCGTGCGTAAATCGCCTCGAAATTCAGTTAACTGTTCGTAAGATACGCTTCTTCCACGCGGACGACATTATTCGCGGCGAAATCGATACTTCGCGCGGGTAGAGTATCTTACTTGGAACACCGGAGACCAGCCTGAGAGGACGCAGAACACGAAACGCCCTTAAGGCCTTGACGTCGAAGCCCTCCTTCATGAGTATCGTCAGCACCGTGCTCACCATACTGAAATGAAAAGAGAGGCGAATTTCGTTTTTGTTTCTCCCTTTCCTCGCCCTTCCCACCTCTTCCTGCGTGTATCGGGTTAATGAGAATTAATGACTTATTACGAGCTGCGATAAAGCGGAGACACGGTGAGAAAAAAAAAGCGAAAGCCACTTTCACGGGAAATAAATCGCTCCGAAGGAAAGATTTATGCCGTGCCGAGGCTAACGGCATTATAAACGCTGTCATTTATGAGAACGTTTACGAGCTGAACGCGGCTTGAGCCATTGATGGAAAATAGCAAGAGGAAAAAAAAAACGATAAACCGACGCGATGAATTCTTCAGCGAAGCGACGCGGTCTTTTCTAAAATCCCCCATCCATTTCCGTCCATTTGTCATTTCTCCGTGTCCACTCGGCCGCGAATCGCGACGTTTTGCCGGCAAACACTCGGCAAACGCTACGTCATAGGCGATCGGAGCGCGATCAGGCGGTAGGCAGGAAGGAAGGAAACGATCTCCGAGCCGACGAGACAATTTCGAATGTCACCGACGGCTGCATTTTCCTCGCGCAATCGGCTCCGCGTCATTTGAATAATGGCCGCGCGTAATGGTCGAGTCGGGGGATGCGCATGTTCTCTCCCACGGGACATTAAGACGGATCGATCGTCGTGTCGTTAACCGTGAGCGATAAGTTATCAAGGAAGGATCGGCGGGGAGAGAGGAGGCAGGCCGAAACAGGCAGTTACGATCCACCAACGACCATCACACAGCGCGTGGTCTCTCTCTCTCTCTCTCTCTCTCTCTCTCTCTCTCTCTCTCTCTCTCTCTCTCTCTCTCTCTCTCTCTCTCTCTCTCTCTCTCTCCCTCTCTCTCTCTCTCTCTCTCTCTCCCTCTCTCTCCCTCTCTCTCCCTCTCTCTCCCTCTCTCTCCCTCTCTCTCTCTCTCTCTCTCTCTCTCTCTCTCTCTCTCTCTCTCTCTCTCTCTCTCTCTCTCTCTCTCTCTCTCTCTCTCTCTCTCGGGCTTGGACTCGCTCGGAACGAATCGCGAAAATTCGCCAAATTCGATCGCGGATCATTAACAGCGGAATATCAGCGGCGGGGTCTCGCTCGGCCGACATGCTCTGTTTGTCAACTTCTCAAGAGCGTTTTACGCGATATAATGCACGCGTACACACGAGCGCGTGGACGTACACGTGCGCGCACGGGCCAGCTCTCTCTCTCTCTCTCTCTCTCTCTCTCGTGATCTCTTTATTCCTGCGAGAATCGATGATCGCGTAAATAGGCTAATATTATTTACGTCATCATGTGTAAAGCACGCGCGCGCCGGGCCTCTTGGTAATAGACGCACATAGGGGTCGTATATCGAGACCGCGCGCGGTGTTCAGACTGGATTATAATAGCGGGAGAGACGGAGACAGGTAGAGGGAGGACGTAGCAATGACGGTTAGCGATTTTCAATGCTTATGCCTCCTCCGCGGATCTCTCGAATGTCGCCCCATTGACTCGTTCTCTTCCCTTCTCTTGCCGCGCGGGAAATATCGAGGACTCCCGAGACGACGTCGCGGGTTTCCAGCGCGCGCTCAACGGGGGGGGGGCGGGGAGGAAGGATGAAAAGAGGGAAAGAGGAGGCGCGCGCCCGCGCGCGAGGCGACGTCCCGTGAAATTCGGGCGAGCTGCGCGGCGCGTGTAATAATCGCTTGAGCTTGAGCCTGACGCGTAAAAGCGCCCAATTTGCATGCTACTAATTGCGGAATCGGGAGTAATCGGCGCTGGAGCGCGCGAAAAGGACGATTGAGGCGCAGCCCCGTGCACCGGCATTATCGACTTAAACGGCTCTCGTGAAATTTCAATCGGCGATCGCGCGCTGTTACGCCCGACTGGCTCTCATTTACACGCAGCCGAGACATTGTGTCGACGATCGGCCGAATTGCCGCCGCGTTAACTGATTTCCGCGTCGCTGATCGACGAGAAGATTTTCAACGAGTCCCGTTTGTCCATCCGCCCATTCATCCGTCCTTTTCCACTTGTCTCTGTCCTCCCTCCCACGCTTTTCTTTCCTTCCTTCTTTCCTTTCTTCCTGCCGCCTGCGCCGCCTTCGCTCACATATCGTCAATTTCGTTTTACTTACGCTCCACGAATTATCGAACGCGGACGAGCTCCGACGAGCGGGGGGCTTAAATCCAATTTTAATTCACTCCAGACGCTCGCTGATCGGTTTTACGAAGCGTCACCCCCGTCACCGCCGTGACGAGAACGCGAGGAAACGGTCGAAGGGACTTTTATGCGGCTCCCTCGCGGTGTGTAAGCGGCGAATCTGCCGGGCGTGCGAATCGTTTCGGTGTGACTGGTGCAGACTCGCGTTTTGCCTCTCGCGAGTACTGAAACTCCTCCAAGAGAGCCCTTCAAGAGAGCTCCACGTTGACGCGAGAAACAGCGCGATGAGACTTAACGTCGCGCTTGGCAACGCGAAATTACCTCGCGGTCTCCTGCTCATATTCGCAACGATGTGTACGCTTATCGTCTTCTCCGTGTATTCCGTTGTATTTATTCCGAAAGAAAGCTAATCGCGTCGTTACGTGGACGCGTCTCTCGCCGTCGCGTCGAGGAATTAGTCGCGTCTTGCCATTCGCGCGCTCGCGCGCTCGCTCGTCCGTTGGCGGACGTCATCGACATTGTGTGCACGCTAGGAAGACATCATCAGGTGCAAACTACCAGCGCCAAAGTGTATATGATCGCCACGCATTATCGATTACCCCGGCATTGGTCCAATTAACTTGCAATCGATATAGCCTGTCGGATGTTATCTCGGCTGAGGCCCGCCCGCCAGCCGTCGGGTTTCAGGCACGAAGGTGTTTATTAAACGAAACGACGCCGGGTATTATCGCGATGCGTTGAGGATCTCTCGCTCTCCTCTCTCTCTCTCTCTCTCTCTCTCTCTCTCTCTCTCTCTCTCTCTCTCTCTCTCTCTCTCTCTCTCTCTTCTTTTCGCCTCGTCCTAAGTGATCGTCTCGACGCGCTGGAAAATTCAGACGACGGGGCAGACGGATCGCGGGAGAGACGCGCGAGAGAAAGTCAAACTTTTTCTCCGGGGATACGCTGATAAAATAAATATAACGGCAGTCTCGTTACATCCATTCTATTTAACGTGAACAAATTCCAGCCGACGGATTTATATCGCATTTCGCGAGCTCAAGCTCGCCCGAGGTGTACCGCCAAGCGAGCAAGAGTTGCGTGAAAATTCTCCGCCGGCTTATTTAATCCCGCCCGGTAGAAAGCTACGGCGAATCTCTGGCGGTTTTTTTGCGGATTAAAATCCAGCCGGGAGAAAGGAAAGAGAAGAAAAAGAAGAGGAGAAGCAGCCGCGTGTGTCGGGCGCGGGCGGCAATAATAATTAAACTTGGACATTTCTTAAGGAGTTGAATCGTACTCACCCGATAACGACTATCGTGAAATCCAGCAGGTTCCAGCCGTTGCGGAGATAAGCCCCCGGATGGGCGACGAAGCCGTAAGCTATGATCTTCATCACGCATTCCACCGTAAAAATCACAAGAAAAACGTACTCTATCTTCTCCTGCAACATCGAACGGGAAGAATCGCCGTGTGAGAAATGCGGGGGATGCGACGGGGGCGGAGGGTGATGAGGTGGCGGTTGCATTAGCATAAATCCATCCGAGAAATTTGTCGGAAGATGGGCTCATCCGAGCGGGAGGGCGTTCCCGCCGCGGGGTGGGCGGAGGGCAAGGTTGGACGAAGATAGATTCGATCTCTTCGCGAGCCGGCCGCGATCGAAGGGACCGCGATTGATGGGCTTCGCGCGCGCAATAAGGCAGACCCGGCGCAATTCCACGTGCCGGCGGTACGTACGGCGGCGTTGTCAACGAGGCAATTAAAAACGCAATGGGAAAAAATTGCGGTGGGCTGCAATTAAAAACGGCCGAGCGCCGAAGACAATGTTTTCGCGCGCCACGTACCGTTTCCGTTAAACATTTAAAGCACGAGCGTCGCGGCGTGGTCGGATCACGAGGCGAGTTACGACGCGAACGTGATCGTCGTTAACCGCTCGAGGGGGAAGAAGAGGGGGAGGGAAGAGGGGTGTCAACACGGGCGCGCCGATATATTTTTCAGGAGACCCGGATACGCGCTCTTTTTTAAAACAAGAACGCGGGCCGTGCCGTTTCTTCGTTTTTTGTTGCCTTTTTTCTTCCTCTTTCTGTTCGGAAGCGTCCCACTTCGCCCGGTCGCAATTGGTGCATGGAAACGAAATTCTCGGTCGAGCTTTCTCCGAGCTATGATTCATCGCCGCCCCGAGCTGCAGATTTAATTAATCGCGACATGTCAGCTGCGAGAGACTGCGTAAGAACCTCGGACTTGCAACGCGCAAATAATAAGTGATCGATCACAATGCCGAGAATTGCTAACGTTTGCTCTCATTTCGGCGTGAGGAAGAAGAAGGTTACTTTAGGTCTACGTAGTTTGATACAATCTTCACACAAAACACGCAGGTGTAAGGCGGCAAATGTGCAGCGTAACGATAAAAGTGACCATTATATCTTTTACCGTAACCCAAAGAATGTAACTACGTCATCGTTATCACTGCTAGCGGAAAAGAGAGAGAGAGAGAGAGAGAGCCGTCGACCAAATCTCGTTATTGGGGAGAAAATTATTTTCAACTTGTCACTTCCCAAAGCTGATTCTAAGTAGAATGTGTCGCTGTTGCACGCGGCATCGTCGGGTTTAGGGTTAATTTTTCGACCTCGGCCGCTCCTCATTAGCGCAAGATCCATCAGTACGAGCGGTACCAGCGGCATCAGTATCGGCCACCGCGCAAAAGGGTTAATCGGCGTATGGAGTTACAGTCGCGGTCGACGGGGGTAGAAAGAAAGAGGAAAAGCGAGAGAGAGAGAGAGAGAGAGAGAGAGAGAGAGAGAGGGAATGCGGCACAGGCCTTGGCGAGGAAAACAGGCAAAACAAAAGGGTGAGGCGGCGGGTTAAAAATAAGGCTGAAGAGCGCTCGCTCGTACACACGAGGGGTAGGGAGAAAAAAGCACGTCGCTCTCGCAGGAGGCGAGAGAGAACCGAGCGCGAGCTGCTGGTCGAAGGACGTTAAAAGGGAAGCTGAAAGCCGCGGATATATGGAGAGTGCAGAGGACATGAACTCTCCCTCTCTCTCTCTCTCTCTCTCTCTCTCTCTCTCTCTCTCTCGCTCGCTCGCTCGCTCGCTCGCTCGCTCGCTCCTCTTCCCCTGTCCATTACGTTTAATTTCCAAAATCGATCGATTATTGGCCAGCCGAAATAGCCGATTGGCCCGCTGAGAGCGCATTATATCGCCGACCACTCGTGTATGCTCGCCGATGCGTGACACGTGTCCAACACCCGTAGTCGCCGTTATGTCACTCGGTGGGTGCGTCGGACAGCACGTGAAGAGACCGCCGGAAATCGTCGGTGCAACATTCCGCCGTCTTATTCCTTTCTTTCTCCTTCCCTTTTGTCCCCTCTATGTTCGTTCCTTTCCTCCTCCAGCGGCGGATCGTTGTCCGTCGTAGGAACGCGAGACGTCCTTTGGCAGGTTGCGCGAACCTGTTGCGCTGCTTTTTGGGGTCTTGTCTCAAGTTGGGCACTCTCAAGTTATTACATCTTGTCGTTTCCGTCGGGAGAAGAACGTTGTATTCAAAATACAATACAATACAAGATACCGCGGCGACTCCGCGGGATAGCAAGCGTCGTGGAATAATTCGTCAGGGCCGTGCACAGGCGGGTTTGACGAGCTAAATGAGTCTCCGAGAAGTGCGAAGCGTGTTAGAAACGAGACGGGAAATATATTAGTTGCAGGACTTTGCCTCTCAGCGTTTGCTTTTCTTCTTTTCCGGGCGTCACCCCTGCAAACGATCGCGCCCGTGAATAGAAATTAAATTGGTTTAATTGATTCTCCGCCTCTCTCTCTCTCTCTCTTTCTCTCTCTCGCTCTCTCGCTCTTTCTCTTTCTCTCTTTTTCCTTCTCTTTCTGTTCTGCGCAGCCTGCGCTCATGACGTGTTTCATTAGGGTATATCGATACTTTTCATCACAAAATGCATCATAGCGCATTTGTGTGCACAGTCCTCTTTTCTCATTTTTCTCTTACACGACCGCACGAGGGCTATAACGTGCTTACTCGCCACGTGAGCGAAATATGAGAGGAGCAGGTAGTAAGGCCAGGGACGTAGATATTACGCGCAAGTATGCCCGCCGAATAATAGACCCGCGCGACATTATGAAACGACAGATCGCTCGGGCCGACGAATATTTCATCGTGCGTGAGAGATTAGACTAGGCGTAAGGGTATTTTCGCGAGTATCGCGTCAAGTGGTGCTTGCACAGTTCACTTATTAAATTTCACCGAGGGTTCTGCGCGCGTGAGAGCTGCGATAATTCCCAGTATTCCGCAAAAGGATTAATCGCTGTGAGATATAACGATAACAACTCGCAGTTAAAGTACAAATTTCTGCTCAGCTCTCGAAGATGAGAAGATGAGCCGAAGAATAATTCTGTTCCATCGTCAACGCGGATTGATGCGAAGGAAAGTCTTTTCTTCTTTTCCGTATATCTCTAACGTCTTATCCGCGATAACTGATAGCTGTCGCGCGAAATTGCCCGCGTGTTAAGACGGCGTATATTGCGAATTCTTTATATAGTTCACTAATCTTGTGAGGCGATAAAAGCTATCCGAGTTGCTGGAGTTTCACCTCGTGGATTGAGTTGAGTGGAGGATGTAAAAGTAAGAAGTTTTTCAAGAAGGGCAGAGAATATCGATCTTAAGATTTGCGACTTTTTGGAGTTTGCCACCGGGTTCGGATCTCACCCGGAGGCATTGTTCTTCCCTTCTCCAGGGATCTCCGAGGGGGAAAAGAGAGGGAAAGAAAGAAAGAAAGAGTATGTGCGTATGCGTGGTACGTGGTAGAAAAAAATAAAATTCGCCAAAAAATTCGCAGTTTGATAAACGAGACACAAAAAAATCCCGGATGGCAAACAATACAAATGACCGAAAATAATATCCTCTAATTATTTCAGCGCGAAATAAATTCCGCCCCCGGATGGTCGCGTTATTTTTCTCCTCACTATTTCTTCTCTCTCTCTCTCTCTCTCTCTCTCTCTCTCCCTCTCTCTCTCTCTCTCTCTCTCTCTCTCTCTCTCTCTCTCTCTCTCTCTCTCTCTCTCTCTCTCTTTCTCTCTCTCTCTCGTAACGCGCAGTTAATTATTTCGGAGTTTCACAAATGAGTTTGACCTGCAGCGCGAGTTTGAGCGCACTCTTCATTATTTGCTCTAAATCGTGCCGCTTTGCGACGGTTTTTTCCCCCTGCCCGAGCGCATGCTTATTTTCCATCTCGGAGAATAAATCGCCGGCTAAAGAGAGAGAGAGAGAGCCCACGTGAAAGTCGTGTCCACATGAACAAACTGAAAACGAATCGATGATTTCAACTTGCACCTTCAGCTATTGACGACCCGGAACGGAGAGGGCAGAGGGTAGATTAAGGCGTTACAGTTCACTTGGCGGTTTACATAGGCAGCTTTCCGCGAATTCCCCCGTTGGCCTAATCTCGACAAAGTTTCCTCCCGATATTAATTAGCGCAGAGGATGCCCTTTGAGTGACGCAAAACGCAATCGCACCCCTCCGGCGAGACAAGCTAAACGATGCTAACGCGCGATTCGCCCCACATGCATGACGCAAAACTGAATTTTCAAAGACAGAGAGAGAGAGAGAGAGAGAGAGAGAGAGAGAGAGAGAGAGAGAGAGAGAGAAACTACAGCGTCTCCTCGTCGTCCTTCGTATGCGATCCGATAGGCAATTCGGCGAGTTAGTGCATCCATCGCGAAGCGACTCCGCGAGGCTTATCCTGGATGAACTTTCCTCGTGCCCCTCCTCCTCCTCCTTCTCCTCTTCCTGTTCGCGCGCAGCTCCCACCGCTGATAACTGTAAATGACTTCTGAAGTGTCCAATACATATTCGCCGGCCTCGATTAATCCTCGCACTATGTCGCGGCCTACATGTGAATCGTGCTTTCCAATTATAGTGCGGGATACCATGCGCGTCGATGTCGAGCAAGATTGAACAATTATTGAACTTTCAGCTCGAATAAGTTTCATGCCACCAACCCTGTCGTCTCGGAATCGATAACTCGATAGAGGTTCGTGTGGTTCGTTGAACGGAACCGCCACTCTTATTGTTGCAGAAGGCACCCTCCTCCTCCCTTGCGTTTTCCCTCCCTCTCGGTCTCACTCGCAACAGAATTCCTCTGTCTCTCTCTTTCTCTTGTTCTCTCTCTCTCTCTCTCTCTCTCTCTCTCTCTCTCTCTCTCTCTCTCTCTCTCTCTCTCTCTCTCTCTCTCTCTCTCTCTCTCTTTCTCCCCCCCCTCTCTCTCTCTCTCTTACTCTTTTTTCTCTGGTTTATACGTCGCATTCGGTAAAATTGCATTTATTTCACATTCGGTGGACCCGCACAAAGGCCGCGCGGCGCCTTTCATAATCAAGAGATGATTGCTATTCGCCGGCAATTATTTTCAGTCTCTTTCGAGGTTTCTGTTTTCGCTTAGATGACGTGCGCGATACACAGGCGCGTTATCCGATTATGCTTTTTATTGGCAGGGATAATGGAAAGTACACGCAATATCGTATACGAGTGGTTTTACTCGTCAGAGCAGATCGGACTCGTACATGCCACATGTTCTCCGTAAACAAAAGGAAAAAGAAACGAAAAAGCGATGAAAAGTCACGATGGTAGGATACTCACCAAGTATTGGTTGGTCTGATTCGAATCACCAAAGGGATACGGCGTGTAGACGGCCAGGGCGACGCAGTTCGCAAATATGGTCATAAGGATAAGCCATTCGAAAGGTCTGCGTAGTGATAAGCGATCAGTCGAATTAAAGAAAACACGAGTAACCTTTCGATTGAACACTTCCGGCGATACTAGCGACAGTATCATTATCCTCCGCCGAACGTCCGCGGGATCAGTCCTCAAAGTCTTAATTCGCTGCTCAAAACAACATTCAGCTTCCGAGCCTGTTAACCCATTCCCGAATTCCTTCGAGTGAGACATCGCTCGGGAAGCAGAGTGACAGCCGAGTCACTCAAAGTCGAGCGACTCGTCACTCGTACAGAGCTCATTTTTCCACTCTGAATCGCCGAGCGAATATTTTCATTTGAAATTGAAGAGCGGGTAGCGCGACGCCGGCGCCGTCGCACGAAAAAGTTGGCCCTAAATCGATCGAAACGTCCGCGCGACGTATGGCCGAAGGATCCACTCTGCAATCAAGAGTGGAATATATCCACTTGCGCGATATTCCGATATTCTCACTGTCGCTTGGAGTGAATTTCAAGTCGCATCTCGAGCGAGGAAATCCCGCTGCAAGAAGGTCAGAGAATACCGGACGTGAGTCCTCGAGTGAAATTTTGTTGCTCCGCGCACGAAGCGACGATCGCAAGAATAAAAAGTACACGAGAGCAAAGGATACTTCCACTCCACGACGCTGATGCACATCTTTCTAAGAGGATTCTTGAGAGGCAGGCAAAAGAGGGCCCTGGTGGGCCTGTCGGGTGGCGGCTTGCCGCCCCGTCTGGCGGGCCTCTTCGGGGCCGACTTGGAGGCGGCGGCGGCGGCGGTGGCGGCCCCGGGGCCCACACCTGTCTGCGACTGCGGAGGCGGTTGTGCGTTACCCAGCTGTGCATCGCCACCGACGCCATATTGCTGCTGGCCGACGACGGGGGGGGTCGCGTTGAAGGGGGTCGCGGCAGTCGGCTGGACCCCCGGCAGCCCAGGGGGGCCCAGTGCCGAGCCCCCATCCCCCCCCGCGCTCATCGATCGCTGGTGTCGAGCTCCGTGCTTCCCCTCCGACGACGATCTCGCCTCCTTCTTCTCCTTCTACGGCGACGCTCCAGCGGTTGCTGTTGCTGCTTCTGCTGCCTTGCCACGCAGACGGCTGACGCCGAGCGACGCGCTGTCTCAGAGGCGCCCCACCACGCGCTGCAGCTCGCCGGCATGCTACGGCACTGGGCTGCTACGAAGCTCCCTCCGTGACCTGCGGCAAAAGGTCGGGGTTCATGAGAAAAAGAAAGAGAGAGACAACGAGTGAGGGAGGGAGGGAGGGAGGGAAGGCAAAGTCTAGTCAGCCCTTTCGACTCTAACAGTCGACCGCCAGTGCACACCGCGCGCGCACCCAGCAAATTCTAATTATTCATGAGGTAACGCGATGCATCATCCACCGCGCCGTGAGCTGTTGCGCACCCTCGCGTAAACACCCTCGAGACATGTGCGAGAATTTTATATCCCCATTCGCCAAACTCGAAAACAGGTTCACTGCTAGATACGGCGGTGATGCGCGAATAATTTCACACAGAAACCTGTGTGTGTGTCAATCGGCTGGAATTACTCCAAGCTGACTTTACATCAACTTCGCTCTTGTCTCGTCTTTGGATCGTCTCGCCGGATCCTCCAGCGCGGCTCTGTGACGCGCGCGCTGTCCGCGCCTTATATTTAATTGCCCACGCTTGCGGGAACGAGCGTCGCGTGATTACGAGTAATCGCAATGAATCGCAAGCGTCTCCGACGTTTATCCCATCGCGACAAAGCAAGAATCTCGAGGACGAGAGGCGCGACGTGATAAAAAGTTAATTATACCTTGCGACGCGGAGCGCACACTTTTAAAATTTCGTCGACGCGTCGTTCTCGTCATCGTCGTCGTCGTCGTCGTCGTTGTTGACAATCCGCGCTCGCTTTTTACGCGAGAGAAGCGGAACGACCGAGCCGTTCGAAAATACACCGTCGGACAACGCAATTATACCTTTGATGGTGAAAATCCGCCGCTAGATGCACCGCGGGCATGCACAAGGAGGAGTCGTGCGGCCTCCCCACTCCTCTCCTCCTCCACCCCTCCCCTCCTCCGCCCCTCATCGAAAAAGGGATAATGCATAGCAGCGGCGCGGCCTTCCGATTGTCTCGCGAACGTAATAAAAAATAACAAGCTGCCGACGAGTGAAAAGAATCGGACTATTTCCAGGTAGCCTTTTTTTAGGGTTCCATTTCGCTCCCCATGAAGTGCGGTGTTCTCCCCAGAGACAGGACCTTTGTTCTCGTTAATTGAGAAGGAAAAGGAGAAAGAGAGAGAGAAAGAGAGAGAGAGAGAGAGAGAGAGAGAGAGAGAAACCGACTCGAAAACGACCGAAGCGAATGCCACGTCCTTAATGAAATAGTAATAATTATCATGATTGCTCTTATTGTTATCGTCAAAGTGCGACATTGTCGCCGCGCGCAGAGGCTTAGTCCCCGGCGATGTCATTGATAAGAATCGCGGGGTGTTATTTTTTCTCATTTTTTTACACGTCGTCATTTGCATCGACGGCGATGTTACGCCGTCGCTTCTTTATACGCGAATCACACGGTTGCAGCGTGAAACATGCAATATCATTGGTCGATCGCAATAACGAATATACGGGAGAATAAATAGCCCGTCATTATTAGATAAGGATAATCATACCGGGGTATATTCCTCCCCCCTCCCTCTACCCCGGCGTAGGTGGAAAAATATCTCGGGCACTTTGAAATTCGCTGCGATCGCCGAATCGTGTCCAAGTCTTATTTAGCGTACATTTATTCCGCCCTTCTCGACGACTATCTCGCCCCCGGAAGCGACGAAGAGCTATCGCATGTGAATTCGCGCAACACATACGCGGTGACACGACAATCATTCGCGATAGAAATCCGCTGAAACGTTCGATCCTTCCGCGACCCCGCAATCTCGCTCGCAATCGTTCGCGGCGATAAATCGGCCGCGGAAACAACCGCCCCGTTTCGTAGACGATCCTTCGCGATTTAACGAGCGCGTCGCGTTGCTCGGCGCCGGGCGACTTTCTCGTCGCGCAAGTTAGTTTGCGAGTGCCGTTTGAGGTCGGCATGATCGATCGGCCAATTCGCCGTTAATCCGGCCGGCGAAAAGCACCGCGAGTCTCTTTGATGTCGGCCCTTAGCCGATAGGGTGACTCCGAAATAGACCCCGTTTCGGCCCCGATGGGTGAGCACGTGGTGGGTTACTCGCGAAAATTCTTGTCAACGGCCAATCGTAAGAGCGCCGCCGCCGCTTCGACGGATAGGCGTTGTTGCCTTCGAGGCAGAAGCGAACGAACGGCGTGTAACGTCGGAAGGTCCGTGCGAATTAATCAGAAAGAAAAGCCCTCCGCTAAAAATACGCCTAAACTACAGAGCTAAAACCGCGCGCACGGGTCCGACCCGAATTTATAGTCGGGAAAGATCGGCCGGTGATAAAGATATTCAGTGAATTCTCTTGAAATACTTTCCTTCGCGCTTCGTTTATTTCATCGTAATGTTAGCCAACTAACAGGGTCAAGGTTCCACTTGTGCGACGCTTTTTTCATCGTCTCTTTCGAGCAGAATCGTCTGATTGTTACGCGCCGATTTTATTTTTGCGCCTTCAGCACTTCATTCCCGCGCACTTCATTACATCTACGTCTTCGACTTCGAGAATAGACTTAATATCAATCGGAAGCTCTCGGGAAGTAAACAGACTGATAGATCTGTAATTATAAATTTTTATGAAAGTATTATGATCTTGAACGGCTGTGAAAGCTGTAATCTTACATCTGATAACACGGTGTTTGTTTTCTCCCGCTTCCTGAGCCGAGCAAAGGAGACTTTCCTCCTCGAGTTTCACCAATCACTTTTAAAGGTGGCACACTCAGCTATCTCGGACGGATGCAGCAGCATGTAGCGCACTTGCGTACACACACGCACGTACCGTTTCCCCGTAATTTCATCACTCCCGCCACTCGCACCAGACACTTCCAATTTATTTTATTCGCGGTCGCTATAAAAAGAAGGCTTTACGTTGGCGCGCCAAACGGCCAGATTGTCCCGCCGAGAAGATCACGAAGCTATCGAGATTCGATATTTGAGCGTCTCGCTCGTACATATAACGTCGATACAACGGGTGCCCAAAACAACCTTCGTCGTCGAGCGACGCGCTCCTCCGAGGTGGAGAACGCGGCGGCTGCGAGAGAGAAAGCGAGAGAGAGAGACCGGGGGCCGGGGATTTATAGTCGACTCGCGCTATATTTAGTGAGCCTAAATACTAGAAAGTTCTCTGCCTACGGGCGAGTTTCGCACGCCGTGCCCCGTGTCGCGACACGTGAACTTGCCTTCGATCTAACCACCGCCTCTCTCCCTCTCTCTCCCCCCTCCCCCTCTCTCTCCCCCTCTCCATCCCCCTCTCTCCCCCTCTCCCTCCCTCTCTCTCCCCCCTCCCTCCCTCCCTCTCTCTCTCTCTCTCTCTCTCTCCTCTCTCTCTCTCCTCTCTCTCTCCTCTCTCTCTCTCTCTCTCTCTCCTCTCTCCCTCTCTCCCTCTCTCTCTCTCTCCTCTCTCTCTCTCTCTCTCTCTCTCTCTCTCTCTCTCTCCTCTCTCTCTCTCTCTCTCTCCCTCTCTCCCTCTCTCTCTCTCTCTCTCTCTCTCTCTCTCTCTCTCTCTCTCTCTCTCTCTCTCTCTCTCTCTCTCTCTCTCTCTCTCTCTCTCTCTCTCTCTCTCTCTCTCTCTCTTTCTCCCCGTGGCACGACCTTTGAGCACGACGACGATTTCGCGAGAGAGCGCGAAAGGATTGACGAATCGTACGGCAGGTGTGCGAAAATATTAATTCACCGTGTGTCTCCGTGTGACGTCTCTCGGTTGGTGTTCCCAAAATTTCTCGCGGGGTGAAATCCCGCTCGGAGAGGACGAGCGGAAACTCGCTCTGAGCGAAAATACCGCCTCGCTCAGACTTGAGGCGAGTTTTTTTTAAGTGTACAAGCGAATGCTCCGATCGATGTTAGAATGAACTTGGTGTCGTTTCTTGAGCTCACATAACGGAACACTTGGTCGACTTGACTGTTAAATTTCGAATGGAAATATTGCACCGCTCGATTCTCAGAGAGGAGAATTTTCTCGCTGTACGAGAGTAAAAAAATCACTCGAGCTCTCGGGCATCTCGACTGTCACTCTGCGCTTTGAGTGGAGTTTTGCTCGAAGAAATAGATGCGGAAAGGGCTCTCGACGTTTTCTCGGGCTTCTCTTTCCGAGTGCAATCTCGTTTGAAAATTCAGCCGTGGCGATAATGAAGATGCCCACTCGGGGATCACGAGAGAGAGAATATTTTCCGCGAATTTGAAGCGGATTCTTAAACCGCGCGAGTGAATGTTTCAATCAATTAGAGCGCGAGTATGTTGCCGCGCGACATGATGGAGCACGGACGGATCCACTCTTGAATTTCGGCTATGAAAATACTCGCTCGTCGGGACGAAGAATTCTGACTGTGCACCAGCGAAAAGCCACTCGCGCTCGAGTGACTCGGCTCTACGTCAGGCTACTCTCCGAGTGGAATTTCACTCCAAGACATTTCGCGAGTGCCGCTTTGCCCTCAGGAACACGTTCCTGCGAAGAACTGTCGCGTGTTGCACGGACAATTTCTCAAGATCGCCGTTGAATAAACCCTGCGATCGCTGCGACGTAGGATGAAAATTAATCGATCCTCCCCCTCCCCCCTCCCCTCCCCCCCCCCGCGATGCGCCGATGTGTTCCCTATAATTGGAGGTTTATCCGGTATAGAATCGGTCCAGTCCGGATGGGACGGATTCGCGAGGCTCATGACGCGCATCGGAGGACCCTGTGACTCAGAATGTGACGAAATCGAGTGCAATAGGCGCGCGCGCGTTTTCGGACAGATTTATAGATAGCAGTGAGGCACATAAGCAGAGATGAGTCACACACACGGTTTGTTAGTATTTGGCGTAATCCGGCGAGACTCGCGACAACGCGGCCTCTCTCGCGCCGCGATTTCGCAGCCGCCTCCGACTTTTCCGCGATGGCAGGCTCATTTATCCATTCATGCGTATTGACGTGTGGCTCTTCGCGCATTTCAGCCGCGCGTGGACACGCGCGAATCCAATCGCAAACATGCAAATCGGAGCGCGCGGGAGCGCATAATCACGCCGATAATGATGTATTAATCCCTCCGTTGTACGAAGCGCAACGTATTCGGGAGATTATTCGTTGCGCGAATCGCGAGG